ACATCACATAATGCAAAAAGAAACAATTCCAATTAATAAAACTATGGTTTTTATTCAATTTCTAAAAAGTCAACAAAAGTCAACTCCCCGGGCCTACACCTCGAAATCCGATAAAATTTACAAAATCCGAACACTTACTCCGATACGAGTTTAGAAATACCAAAATTATCAAGTTCTGATACGAATTCGTCCTTCAAATCATTATTTTTCGTTTTTGAAAAGTTTCGAAAAAAATTCCCAAATTCCCAACATAATTCACTAATTAGATTATAAAAATAGCAATGGATTCATGAAATATGATATGATTCGGGTTGAGAACACTTATCCTGATGATTTGCTTGAAAACCCCACAAAAAATCTCCCAAAAGCCGAGGTCTGCAACTCCCAAAATGATAAAAATGGCTAACCCTCGATTTGGGATTATATTCTGTCTGCCGAGGGATTTATGCATCGCGATCGCGGAGATTAAGTCGCGATCGCGGAGATTAAGTCGCGATCGCGGAGAAGAGAATTAAAGATGTCAAGAAATACCCTTCGCGATCGCGAGAGAAGGGACGCGAACGCAATGAACAATGGGCAGGAGCTTACGCGAACGGGGGGCAATTGATGCGAACACGAAGAGGAAATAGCAAACCGTCCCAGCTCCTAATTTCTACTATGCGAGGGAACGCGAGGGAACAGATCCGAACGCGAAGAAGAAGAAAGCAGACCTCGCGATCGCAAGAGGTACTATGCGAACGCGATGAAGGAAAAAGGGGCAGACTAACAGAATACCACGTGATCGCGACTGGAGCTACGCGATCGCGAAAGAGGGCAACAGACACCAAAAACCAGCAATCTGAAACTATGAAAAATCATTCTGAAACCAATCTGAAACTCACCCGAGCCCTCGGGGCTCCAAACTAAATATGCACACAAGTCTAAAAATACAACACGAACTCGCTCGCGCGCTTAAATCATCAAAATAACTTCTAAAACTACGAATCGGACGCCAAAACGCATGAAAATCAAACTTAAACTTCAAGAACTTCTAGAATCAAAACCAAGCATCTGAACCCTATCAAATCAACTCTGAATGGCGCCAAACTTTGCAGACAAGTTCCATATGACAAGACGAACCTACTCAAAACTTCAAATCACACATGGCAATCTCGAAACGATGAATCACACCTCAAGCCGAAATCAATGAACTTTGGAACTAAAACTTCCACAACCGATGCCGAAACCTATCAAATCACCTCCGATTGACCTCAAAATTTGCACACAAGTCATAATTGACATTACGGACCTATTCCAACTTCTAAAATCAGAATTCAACCCTGATATCAAAAAGTCCACTCCTGGTCAAACTTCCCAAAAATCCAACTTTTGCCATTTCGTGCCAAATTCAACTACGGACCTCCAAATCACAATCCGGACATGCTCCTGAATCCCAAATCACCCAACGAAGCTAACGGAACTGACGAAACTCCATTCCGATGTCAAATGCTAAAAGGTCAAACTTGGTCAACTCCTCCAACTTAGTTCTCAACTCTCAAAGTTCATTCTTCCAAATTGCTTCTGGATAACCTGAAAACCAATACCAACGATTTATGCAAGTCATAATACATCATGCGGAGATACTCGAGCCCTTTAAATACCAAGCGAAGTGCAGATACTTAAAACGACCAATCGGGTCGTCACAAATATTAAATTTTAAATAGATATTTTTTAGCCGGTTTCATATGATATTTTTTTGTCTTTTTTTGTTTAAAACTAAAACCAAAACATTATTAGTTTTTTTCGCTGGTTTGATTCAACTTTTAGTGTAATTCGATTTTGTATTAACACCCCTAGTTGTCGTGAAGTGGTACTCTTCTATTCCTAATCAGGAATTTTGAGTTCAAACTCTAAGTATGAAATGTCTTTGGGAAGAAGCACTCTAAAGTGAGACTTCACAATGTAAATTTGGATTAGTTGCTACCTCATATGGATATCGAACACCAAATTTATATTTTAAAAAAAAAAAGAGAGAGAGAGAGAGAATGCTACGACAATCGCAGCCTAACTGTTTGATTACTTATGACATAAGTCCTCCAACCTTCAACTTAATTTAGAGAACGCGTTTTAAATTTGAATAATCAGCTGTCTTAATGACCTAATAATAATCAGTTTTTCCAATAATAAGCAGAAACTACTCCATAATAATACGTATATTCTTCCTTATCCCGTCATATATACAACTCAATTTTTGGACTCAACATCCAACTAAACGCGGTCCGAATTTTTCTCCTAATCATAAAAATTCAAATGCCTTATAATTAAGGCCATAATAATTTCCTTCTAAGTTTAAGATAATATATTTAAATCTAAATATATTTAAGTTTATAACGACCAAATAACTAAGACTGATATTTTTCTCGCTATCTGTATGTTTATAATTTATTTTTATTTAAAAATTACTAAATGTAATGATTAAAAATTTCTATTATATTTACAAAATATTAGAAAAAATAATAATTTATACGATATTGTAAAATACTTTTGTTTGATGAATACATACTAAAAGCTAGTGACGCTGGCAAAAAGTCGATGTTTGGTAGTTACCTAGTTGATGGTGGTGGTCGATGGTAATAATTGTACTTGTGGTGGTGGGTTTAGGTGGCTGGTGATGGTGATTGCGCAATGACGGTTGTGAGATAATAGTAGATGAAGTGATAGTAAAATGTCATCTTCACAATTTATTATTTAGAAATCTCATAATTATAATTTTTTTCATTTTTGAAGCAAAAGTTGACCTCCAATAATTGAATGGTTGAGAGTAAATTCAAGAAATATAAACGCCATGTAACACGCATTTGATCCCTATCCAAATAATTTAAATCAGAAACGTACGGTGGTAATAGTCTAACCTATTTCCAATTTCCACAAGCGAAACGGTTGCTTGTAGATAAAGTTGCTTGACGTTCAAAAATATATATTTTAAAAATATATATATTTGCTTGAAGTTGACAACATAACCACATTATTCTCTATAAAAATAATTTTTTAATAAAATTATTAACAATTATTATTCTCCATACATACATGTACACGTAGACAGAGAAATAAACATAGAAAAAAAAAGTCTTAAATAGTGCTCTAAAATGGTGGCTCAAAAGTAGGGTCAAGTGCCATTGGCCTTCTTCTCAACTCTCCTTTGAGAGAGACAAAAACAAGTGGTTATTGGTTCTTACACACACATTTACACATACAAAAAAGTTTGAGAAATTTATTTCTTTTTAAGAATTTGATCCGAGAAATAAAGGTTGTTTTGCCTTCTTGGTGTTTTTGGGACATATATCCTTGAGCTGAGGTTCTGTCCGAAACAGCTTCTCCACCTTCGCAAGATCGGGGTAAGATCTGCGTACACACTATCCTCTCCAGAATCTACTTGCGAGATTTCACAATTTTTTGTTGTCGTCGTCATCGCTGGAAAGATAAAGATGGGTCAATGTGTCTCTACGTTTGCATGTCAAGAAAATAGAAGGACAATTTCTTGGAAGCATGGAAATAAAGATGTTTCAGTATCATCAAAAAGTAATAAAAAAGAAGCCTCAGGGAATAAGAAACATAAAGTTTCTGCAGCTTCAGGTTGCTATGCAATGATCAAAGAGCAACGTTCAAGATTCTATATTATTAGAAGATGTGTTTTTATGCTCATCTTTTGGCATAGGCATAGCAAGATTTGATATTTTCTCTCTCCCTTAATTTCTTCATTGTTGCTTCATCTTCTTCTTCTTCTTGGTATTAATTCAAGATTGGTTGAAGGGGTCGGAACATTGAGCAGGTTGGGCGGATTGAACAATAATGCGTTAAAAGATTGCAGTCAGTTTGATAATGATCGAGTGAAATTACTTCTTCTGAACCGAGGAATCCCTTAGATATGATGTAAAACGGTTCTTGAAGTCTATCCGCTCATATTTCAATATGGGAATAAAACTATGCGGGCTGATTCGAATTTGATGGATGGGTCGAACAATTTTGGGTTGAATTTGTCGCCATTAGTCTAATTTGTACATGATGTTTTTGAACTTTTGGGATAGTACAGAAGGTTTGAAAAGCAATTGTAAATTGTTAGGTTGGATATAATAAAATTAGTTTCGTTTTGGATTTCTATGAATATTTTGACTAATTTTATGATTTTTTTGTTTTTTTTTCTTCTATATTCCATTGACATTCTATACCTAAATATTATATTTAAAATCGCTTCCTATAGGGCAATGCAAACAATTAATAGGAGAACAAGTGTAAAAACATAAATCAATTTCTTGAATTTTTAAATTCGGAAACAAGTGAATTTCCATTCTATTATATTCTTTGTAATTACTCTGAAAACTACAGAGATATCAAAATCGCGAATCAGGACGTCTAAGTCCTGATGAGTAAAAGAGCCTTCAGCAAAATTAGGAGTGGCCTAGGAAAACCAATCCATGCTGATGAGTGTACGTCTCCGGAACCAAAATGTGGTTTTTTTTTACTCAAAATACGTAAATAAGTGTTAAAAAAAAAGTTACCAAACTATATATAACGCCACAAATAGTGGCGCTATACAGTAACGTTAATTGCACCGTTACTGTATAGCGCCACTATTTGTGGCGCTATACTGATNTACCACTGGGCCTCAGAAAATCTAGCACGAAACCCATAAGTATATATATAATTTTTACAATTAAACTGTTAAAAAATATGAATTTAAATTATAAAAAAACACATAAATTTTAATGATAGTTATTAAAAATTATGATTTTGTAGTTGACGACATGGATGCACCTATACATCCCGGCCCTCGAACGTCGGAGCTACTACCCCTACAGCCCCAGCATAGATCCGAGCATATATGGGGGGGAGAGTTGCTTACGCNGGGGGGGGGGGGAGAGTTGCTTACGCAGACTTTTCGGGGCAGGAGAGTGGATTTATTGTGGGAGTTTTTTACTCCTCCCCGCGTTCTACATCCCCGTGTGGTCCATCACCTGGAGGAGATGGGATTATATAGGATCATTAGCATTGGCCGGATACAGCTCGACTATGCTTTGATCACGGCGTTGATTGAGCGGTGGCGACCGGAGACGCACACTTTCCATCTGCCCATCGGCGAAGCCACCATCACACTCCAGGACGTCGAGATTTTATATGGCCTGTCCACTGATGGCTTGCCAGTTTTACTACCTGGGAATATGAGATATTTTAATCGGGCTTCATATATGGATATGCTGCACAGGCTCACGGGCTTCAGGTCCGAAGACCCAGATGTAGCAATTGGGAGCAGTCGTATGCAGTTGGTCCCCATTAGAGACCACTTGGTGCAGATCCACGATACTATCACCGACGACTCAGCGGAGGTGGATGTGGAGCAATATACGAGGCTGTTGTTGCTCCTTCTATTTGGGGGGGTCTTGTTCCCGAACACTTCGGGGAACCTAGTGAGCCTCCATTTTCTGCATCATATTGCGGACTTCGATGATACAGTCAGCTACAGCTGGGGTGGTGCTGTCCTATCTTTTTTGTACAGGCAAATTTGTCGGGCATCCATGGGCACATAGAGAGACGTTTCTGGATTTCTGCCACTTCTACAGGTGACAACTTATTCAAATAATTTGTCGTTTAGTTACAATTCTATCTAATTATTGTTAATCTTTACGTCAACTTTGTGTTTTAGGTTTGGGTATGGGAGCGATTTCTGCAGCTTCGGCCACCTCTACCACAGCTACCGGCTAATGTACATATTCCTGATCTCCCTCTAGCTTGTAGGTGGGTATTGCGTAGTAGACTTGCACGAGAGTATCATGGCCATCATAATCTTCCCTTCTGTAGGGATGTGTTGAATTTTCTGGAGGATGCACAGGTGAATATCTAACTAAACTTACCAATTATTGTTTAACTAGGTGTTGCGCATACTAACGGTTTGTGTTATTATTTGATAGTTCATCTGGACGCCGTACAACGAAGAGCTGATAGGTACCCTGCCAGCGTATTGCACACACGGCCGCCATATTTGGAGGGCTTCCATCCCTCTCACGTGCCTCGATATTGTTGAGCATCATGCCTTAGAACGAGTATTTCGTCAGTTTGGATTTCCACAGTCTATACTGACTCGGCCTGCATGGGATCCTTTACATTATGAGAGGGATGATCGGATGAGAGTGGACGACACATTTATTGATTGGCTGACAGCGCAGTTGGGTATTTGGGACAACCGAGGGGACTTGACCCCAGCTCTGCAACACTTTCCTATCGAAGTTTATATGGCATGGTACCGCACTGTTTCCCGACTTTTTATCGGGAACCCAGTTCATCAGGTAGATGGTCGGTACGTCTCATACGCCGGGAGACATGAGGCTGTGGTATGTTTTCTGTTATTATCAATTACATTAATATTAATTTCTAGTCAAATACATAGTTTATATTAAAAACTTTTGTGCAGGCGATTGGATTGCGTACCGTATATCGTATGGGGCAGCAGATGCAGAGTTATGTCCACGATCATGTGATCATGCAGGACTATAGTCGTCGCTTAATGGATGTGGCTGCCCAGACACTGCAGCGAGGCCGATCGGATCAGCGTTTAGCACACTAGCCAGATTATGTTGACCCAGCCACGTACCAGCGAGGTCGTGGTATGCCACGGGGTAGTGGACGACGAGCTGCTGCTGCTCCACGACGACCTGCTGGTGCTGGACGACGTGGTCATGGGCGGAGAGGAGGTCCCCAGCAAGGGGGCT